ATTGACATTTGCGCTTCTAAACAACCACTGTTCAGCAGGTTATTCTCTCTGGTGGGCAGGACATGTTTGTTTTTTATAAATAAAGAAGGTAGAGAGCGTAAGCAGCGACAGCCACAATGATTAAGCAGAGAAAAAGGAAATCGCGCCGCTCACTGAAATGTCATTAACAGAAAATACAAGACGTCACAGGGCCACCCACACAGGCGATCTCTGTCAGGTTCAGTGCAAATACAACAAAGTGTTAAATAAAATATACAACATTAGGCTTAATGAGCTAAAGGTTACAGAGTCATTGATAGAAGCCTGGTTTACTACATTTAGTATTCACTCATAACACACTGCAGCGGAATGTTCAACACACTGTTGTGTTTTTGCAGTGGTGATCATTTATACAAATAAGGTACTCCAATGACAAATACTTTTACTTTTGATACTTAAAGTATGTAATATGCCCATACTGTACTTTTACTAAAACATTTGATTGCAGTACTTTCACCACTGCTTTTCTTTTTTGGCGAAACAAAATCTCCAGCTGCCTGGAATTATCTTCAATGATTTGACTTTACTGTGAAGAAAAAAACAAACAATAATCCCCCCCCCCCCCCACTGCATCAGCAAGGTGTCTATTTGCTCCAAGTTTGCGGAAAACTAACAATTTGAAAGGAAATTGCTTGATTTCTAAACAGTGCATGTTTGAAGCATTTCTCAGACCGCAGCAGACTTAAGGAAAGGCATTAAAGCCTAGGGGTGGATTTGTGAGGAATATGTATTGTTTGAGTAACACTGAGTGTGCAGTGTAGACAGTGGTCTCTTTGTGTACAGCTTTTCTCTGGAGATGATTATTCTACTGGATATCTCCCCGAAGACCGTCTTCAATGCGGAACAGACGTCTGAGGTTTTTACAAAACATATAAGACAATGAAGGCGAACACAGCCTAAACTACTGGCAAAAATGCAAACACAGGCTGTTCATACGGAGCCTAAGGAGAGACTATTGATGGAGACAGAATATATGAGGTGGCTCAGGGTTTTCTGTGAAATAAACTATTCGGGTGCTTCAAATAGTTTGCCTCCATCTTCGATTGTAGAAGATATTTATTATCAAGTTACAGTGTGTTGAACGAAACCTTATTTAATACAAGTGCCATGACTGTTGGCAGTAGACGGAACAGGTTTACAGATCTCCACGGCCTCAGCAGAGAACAGATCATTTTCTTTATGTCACTTGTAAAAGACTCATTTATAACTGTGAAATCCAGTCAATAAATTCTACTGCCCTCTGCGGCCTTTTCTCCCCCTGCGGAACACATCGCAAAATGTTACCATGAAACGCCTTCAGAACATTCCCCAAACTCCGCAATAAACAAGAATGAGCGAGAACATAACTCGCTCTGTAAACACCTCAAGCCTTTTTATCGGGGAGCCCCCTCCCCCTTCCAAAAGAGTGTTTTATTGCATCAAACGTGATGCCCATTTCTCACCGCGGGGCGATATCCTCTTCTTTTCTGTGCATGCAAATTCCTTACTCCGCCTCGACACTGCCAAGCTGTGTTGGAGCGGTTTTATGAGGCACGGAGTGGACCCTTGACTGGCTTCATGAGGTGTGAAGTCACTACGGTCAACTTATACTGTAAAGGTTCAAGACAAAAATGCAGAGTCAGCTCTGGGTATGGTGCCATCATCCTGAACATCTAAAAAAAAAAAAAAGTAGGCTGCTTTAAAAGTTTTCGTCTTTGTAGGAATGAAAAAAAGAATATGTTTTGATTTTGATATGATGATGTATTGTAACGGTGTGTCATTACATACAGAACATATACTGTAGGGCTAAACTCTGGGTTTCAAGAACAAGCAAGACTGAGATCCTTTAAATAGTCAGAGCTTCTTTTTCAAGCGCTGCAGAATCTTGTGTAAGACAGGAGTCACTGTGCAGAAGGAGAAGGTTAAATACACAGACGGTCCACGTGCTTAACGTACTTAAGTGGTTTTCCATGTCTCCGTCACAAACTATATTCCGCACTTCAACAAAACGAAGCGATGTCCAGGTCTGCTATAACTTGCACCCTTGTTCCATATGTGCACGTTCAACATGTTTGACAGAAGAAGAGAAACACAAGAATTCACTTTGAAGCAGTAAAATGCGAGCAGGTTTAACAAAAACTAAAATTAATTATGGAGACAAATAACAGACTTTTATTTAACTACAACCAGACGAGGTCTACTCATTACATTTGACCACATCAGTGAACATACTAACAAAATATGATGTGAATGAGAACATACAAACAGCAGCTTCTCTCCAGACTCACTATTGTTATTTTAATTGTACTGAATTAAACAGCTGGCTGGTTTTACTTCTGTAATAACAGTATAAAGCTGGCGTCTTTAGAAAAGGCATCTGTCCCATTATCAGCGGCAGAGGGCGGTTTGCAAATCTATAGACAACACAAATCTTAAGTACCGTAATGTAAAATGCAGAATAAACTAAGAGAAAAAAATGAAAGATATTTGAAAAATCACATAAATACTTCAGTTTTGAGTGTGCAGCACCTGGGGCCATGGCAACATTCTCTGCATCTAATCAAAGAAAATGGTCTAAATAGTCTCATGACATTATATTTATTCATAAACGTTTCTGAGATAACTTTCAGAAATAAATGATTCCGTGCAATTTACATTCAAACTTGAATCATTTCTAGTGGACATTCAAAGGGGAACTTATGGGGATATTGACCCAGCAGAACTCCCAAAACTTTAGAAATGTGAATGACACCACATAGATTAAAGAACACCACGATGTGCGGTGAGGTTGTGTATATTAAGACCTCGACCCAGCCCAGCAGCCTCGGGTAGTACAATCTTGGATCAGAACCCCTTTGGGCTGTCAGATGAGGTACATCTCTTTCTCCGAAGCTGCGGATAACCCGGCCCGACCTCCACGGAACATCAGGTTTGTAGAACATTGTGTTAGAAATCCTCCTGGGAACTGAGTCGGGAGCTAATAGGTACAGATATCCATTTTCTTTCCTACCTTGCGCCCTCTTCCTCATTCCCTCTGCACTGCAAAAAATGTCCCATCTCAAATGCACTTGCACACGGAGAGTGACAGCTGCTGGCCAGGCTGCACAGAGTTTGCGATGAATTCCACAGTGCACTTGTGCTGATGCGATTAGTAAATGTGCCAGGAAGGTGTGGCCATTCAAAATATGAGAGTCCATCTTCTTGTTTAAAGCTGGAACTTTGGTCTCCCCCCTCTGGCAGTGAGAGTAAATTCACAAACACTGCTCATGACGTACTCCTGCAGGTGAGCTCGCCTTACTCCCCCGAGTGTTTGTCCTCTCTGAGGATTGCTTTCTTATTTTTACTTTGATCCTTCCTCTGAACACAGTTTCTTGTTTTATGTGGAGCATCCACTCTGTCGCTTTGGTCTCTCACCCTCTTCCTGCCCCCTTTAGCTATGGCTGGTTCCAGTACAACGCATCACCTGTGCACCACCACGAAAAAGTCACCACAGACCCCAGACACCACAACTCTGGTATACTGTGAAATACAGAGAGCTTTCCATGGTGGCGATAGGCTTTATCAGCATTGAGTGAACACGTTTGACGAGGGCTTCAGTGTTCATTCATATGTTAAAGTCCTGCACTCTAGCTTGAAAGGAGACATACAGTATGCTAATTTCCAGGTCCATACTTGTCTCTTGGGTTTCTACTAGAACATGTTCATATGCGTTAATGTTCAAAAAACACATTCTTTTTCTCACACTGTCTGTCTGAATATACTTTATTGTCGTCCACTCACATGATATCTGCTTTGCCATCTACCGTCTGTCTGGTTCCATGTGAAGGAAGCGTTAGTCCCAAATGGCCATATGTTGCAATGGTCAATTCTTTCTTTTATTATTAGGAGACAATGTGTTTTGTCGAGACACAAAACAGTGTGCACTGCTGTTTGCTACTGTTTATTTTATACTAGCACCATCACCCATTTTCAAATCATACACATAGAAGAGCAAATGCTGTCCGTTAGGAGGTATAATCCCTCTCGTTCTAAACTGCATGAAAACTAGATACATTGTTCGGAGCTCTCTCTGTGTACAAAATGAATACCTGATCTGTAGTTTCAGTTTGGTGAGTCCTTTGAAAAGGTGGAATGTACTTACATACACATTTTGGGGACTTTGAGGTACTCTACTTGAGTATTTCCATTTCATGTTACCTAATACTTTAACGTCCCTACAGATCTGAGGGAAATATTTTACTATTGACTCCACTATATTTATTTGACAGCTATAAGTTACTTTCCAAATAAAGGTTCCAAGAAAGTAGAGTGCATGCAATTTAAACTACATATCAACACTATAGAGCATAGTTTAAAGGTGCTCCACTGTGACCAACTACAACAGTAAAATGCTAGAATGCTAAAGGATATAAATGCTGTTTTCCCACCACTGGTCCTTGACCTCAGGGCATTCTGATGATTATCAAACATGCTGGATATGTGTTTTGTAAGACGCCTGTAGTGTGAGCAGTCAAATGATGCCAGATACGGTCACATGGGCACATGACCTTAGGAGGTGGCAGATCTTTACAGTACAGATAAACTTGATCCGACTATTATCTCGACTCTTCATCATTAATGCGTTAGTGCGGTGCCTGCATTTGTTTTGAAATGCTTCTCACACATTTCCATCAGACAATGGCACCTAGCTCACCATCTGTAATAGTTAGTGTCCGGTTTCAGCACTTTCCGCAACTCATAACTTGAATCAGTGAATTGTTAATGTGGATATTTTTTGCAGCGGGCTTCACCTCCAACAGAAGAAGACATAGATGAGAACGGGCTTCTCGGATATGACTGACGGCTCCCTTCAGCCAACCAGAGCAGGGATGCTGCGAGCGACTCGCCCGCTTCTCTGACGCTATTGGCTGTTCTCTGGAGAGTCGGGGTTCGTTCTGATATTAATGACTGCTGAGGAGACGGCGGGCGCATCTATGTGGTCCGCCTGACGCTTGATCGAGGGGAGAGATGCGCCCTTAGCAGAAGCTAAGAAGGGAAGGGCACGCGGAACACAAGAATCTCTCTCCACGCTCTCGAGGTCTCGCCAAACCCGCCGCTGGTGGACTTCGCCGTGTTTCGTCCTCGCTTCACGCAGAAGCCGTGTGTTTTTACCGTGGAAGAAGCCCAGAACTGATTTCTCATCAACTGCGTAACAAATAAGAAGACCACACATTGTTGACTGGCTTTATGTCGCGCGCTGGGGCTCGCTCGTCATTGGAGCGGCGCACTTGATGGGAATATAGACAGCACATACATGCTTCGAGAGGGCTATCATGGTTAAATCGGGTAAGTTAACTCTGATTACTATAACAATGCATTTCGGTCATTTGATGGTTGCCTTTGCGCAACGCGTTTTCCAAGTTAACGAAAAACGCCTGGATTCAGTGATGGAGCGGACTTGTGATTCTTGTGATTTAACCAACGCATTGATTCGCTCCGCAAATACCAATCACATATAAGTTGTTTGTGAAAAAAATATTGCAGGATAATATTGCTGAGGACTGGCCTCGTACCCTCGCCGGACGTGGAGACGCGCTTTTGCGCAACTCTGCAGGATGCGCCTTAACCAGACCGGATTTATGACGGACTCCGTTTAGGCTAGAAAGACTAATTAATTAAGGACATTCGAGGAGGAGTTGTGTTTGTGTGTGTAGCTTCTGTATGCGTGCGCGCGCGCTCGTGAGTGTGTATGATAGTGATGTGATGGACTGGCAGTTTCATGTCCCCGGGTCCAGCTTAGTGAGCGCACACCAGACACGTCTCGAAGAAATCCACAGAATGGTGGCCACCCCCCTCCCTCCCCTCCTCACTCTCTCCTTCCCTCTCCGTTAAACATTCCTGTTGCAAACAGAGAAGTCGTTACCGACACAAGCCACGAAAGTACGTTACACGTACACCCGGGCTCCTTTTGAACGCGATCACGCGCGCACACGCACACGCATACACACACACACACACACACACACACCACACCAACGGTGGACGGAAAAGGACTCGTAACTTAGACCGCCTTCTCGTTGCAGCCAGGGCTTTTGTGTAATTAACACAAGCCACAGAGAGGCATCTTGCAGCGCATTCACCATCAGCGCTCCACCTGCTCGAGGAGCGCGCTGGAGAAAGAGAGAGAGAAAGGGGAAGGTATTCACTAATCCCTGAACTGCATTGGAGCGCCTCTCTACCCTCTCTCCATCCCGCTCTCGCCACCCCCCCTCCCACCCTCCCCTATGTCCAAAACGTATGTCATCCAGCAGATGCATTACTCATGAATATTTCAAATGCAGATACACAGATAATGGCCGATAATGATAAATGGGATTTTCACGGAGGGGGGGCTACTAAATGTGATTGCTGTAATCTTCTGTGCAGACGTGTCAGCATGCATGCATGCGTGTGTGTGTGTGTGTGTGTGCGCGCTCTCGTTCCCGGTGATGGATACAATAGAGTTTGGCCTCCACAGTGTGAATGACTCACCCAAAGCAGCTGCTCAATATGAAACACACAGTCAAATGCCACATGAGAGCCATCATGCCCTCACATCAGACGCCACTCCACGCTGAGAAAAACCTCGGTCCACACACTATGTGTTGTTCTCACTTCGAATTATGCAACCACCTGCCGAGCCGAGGCCGCTTGTAGCTTATATTTTAATAATCAGCCATCAGCTTTTCACAAGTGATCCTTGAGCACAACTGTTTATGTATTTTCAAACAGTGGTGATTTCATCTCATGCAGCTCCAAACAGTTAGTGAGGTTCAACGTTAAGCATACGCTTCTATCACAACATCGTAGCCATGTTGCCACGTCCCCCCCCCGCCATTGGTGATAAAAACAGTAAAGCAAAGCAGTAATGGGTTGCTTTATTAATTTGGGCACATTTGTTCAAAACAAATCAATATTACATGTCCACACTAAGTCATACACTTAAAGTGAGTGCCTTCGCGAATTGCCTATTGATCCGCGTTTGAAACAGTGAGAAGCAGTGTGTGTGTAGGGGGGTGGGGGAGCTATTGTGCCTGCAGTGGCCTTGTAGAGGCTTGGGGAGCATGATCGGCAGCACGGTGCGGGTGCTTCATATTCATTTCTCTATAAACAGAGGGCAGCAGGTTCCTGTGAGGTGAGAGGATGTACGGGTGCCAAAAGCTACGACCGGTTCAGAGTCAATGTGGAGTTCAGGAAGACTGCACTATTGCGCCATCAAAAGCAAATTAATCTCACGATCTTTTTTTCCATGATGTTGATAACAAGATGCCTCAGGATCTATCGAGGCTCCTGAGTGAAATGCATGTAAACATATTCACAGGACAGCTGCAGGGGATCAGCCTGTGCAGCCGAGCATAGGCTCTCTGATAGCATCCTGTTCCCAAACAAACACAGGCATCCATTAAAATAGAATAAGCACAGACAGAGGGCAAAAGGAACAGGGGAGGAACGGAGTGCATGTTTGTATTTTCTAGGATCTGGTGGATGGACTGTAGTGGACCTAAAGTATATAAAAAGACACAAAGCAGAGGATGAAAACATGGTTTGAAGGCAGCATGCGTGACATTTTGCTGTTCAGTCCATATCAAAAGGTCAGAATGGGAGGGGACAGCTCCTTTGTATCCAATGACATTTGCTTTCACATTAGCATCTTAAGTATTTGGCCAGCACACGTTTCTGTGAGAACAATGCGGTTAAACTAAAAAACTAACATGCATACTAGAGAAAATAACTAACACTGATGATGACTGACGATGACGATATGAAGATGATTCTCACAAAGATAAAAGAAAATCAAAGTTATTAATAACTAATTAGTCTGCTGTTGTGCAGATTCATATCAGAGTTGGACATGATAGGGACGTATGCCCATGTTGCAGTTTCAAACATGGGCAGAGAAGGAGGATATCTAAGGGCTACTGCTGTGCCGTCCATCTGTTCTTCATTCAGATTGATACGTATAGCCCTCAGTGCACTAATGAAAAGCTTTGTGGAGGCTGCATCAAGAGACAAAACAAAGTGTTCATGCATTGATAAAGCCGAGGACACTTATGCATAGATTTTGCACGCACGGACAGACACAAATTGCCTGTATACATACATTGGCAGAAAAATGCATGTAAATGCACACATATATATATATATATATATATATATATAGCAATGCCTGTCTCCATATCGGCCCAGTCATTGGGCTGCTAAGCCTTTGAATAGACACATTTTTGAAAGTGCCATATCTTTAGCTGAGGAAGAGTAGCAGAGAATGAAAACAGAAAGAGAAAGCCCATATCAAACCCCATTAAATCATAATAAAGAGGTCCGAGCCAGCGATAAATGCATTTCAGTGGCATATAATGATTGATTCCGTCTGCCGTTGGAACTTATTCCCTGCAGGCTTGTGGCCTCTTGACCAGCCATATATTATTCATATAAATATAGATAGCCGCGCATCTTAGAGGCAGCACACATGCCACATTTGCACCTGCAGATTCAATTTGGCTCTGACTTTGAGGGATATGCCGCTGGCTCCATTCCCCCTGCCAGCCCCCCGCCTCCCCCCCATCCTAACGCCTCCCTCTTTCATTCTGGCTAGCAGCTATACATGGAACATTATGCAGATTCTTTGTCAAGAGTGAGTGCGATTATGTTGGGGGAGAAATGAGTCTTGGAATGTGTTCGCTACGCCTTTGACCTTATCAGCGGCAGCCTTAAGCTGGATACCTTGCCTTAATTTTAATAGATGCAGCACTATGCGAATTAGACAAGGGGACCTAGCTGTGCTCTTACACTGTGTGGTGCGTTATGCATGCATTATGCAAATTAGCTTGGGTATGTCTTTTTTTACGTTCTCTGTGAGGACAAAGTTACGTGTGCTTGCCTCCGCAAATGCATGTATCTTTCTATGTATCTAATACGTGTTCCGGTCCGATGTGTGTGTGTGTGTGTGTGCATGAGTGTGTGCTATAGTGTTCCATAGTGCCTCACGCATGTTCTCCCTCACTCAGCCCAAGGGCATGTCTTTTCCAGAAAAGGACTGAAATACCAGAGATCAGGGTCCAGCGGTTAATTTGGAACATTGATTTTACATTAACAGTCGACTTGCCACTGATTCATGGCCATGCAAGTGCAGATGTAAGGGAAACGGTTTCCATCCGCTCACACACGCACGCACGCACGCACGCGCACACACACACACACACACACACACACACACACACACACACACACACAGGAAGCCCATACAGGAGGCTTTCATTATGAATATACACTGAATTGAAGGTTCTCTTTAATGGACTCTCCCTTACCTTGGAGAAAGCATAATAGTAAATCAATGAGGTGAAGGGCAGAGGGAGGGACAGTAAAGCCATTCAGAGGCACCCACCCACTAAGGGGCTTACCCAGAATGTCTTATCGGAAGTGGCTTGGTTGTGTCATGGCTGCGCTACATGCCCACTGTGGGTCCAGTGTCCACAGTGGAAGGTTTATGGGAGCGCCGTGTTTTAAAGCATCTTCTTTTCACATCATAGGACACCAACTCCGGAAAGAGATAGACAAACTCTCGAAAAAGCTGAGCCACACTAAAACTGCTTTGTATTTACAGCAAAAATCCTTTGATTTCATATTAAGAAATCATAAAGGAATATTGGCGATACATAAGTTTTCTTTGGAACACCTCTAATGTTGCATTATTGCAAAGTGGCAGCCTGTCACATGAAGAAATCTAAATAGAACTAATCATGTGCAGTGATGAATGACACATACACCTGCTATCACATCAACTGTATGGATACTACTTCATTTCAGCTGAAAGTGAAAATGGATTTAAAGTGCTCGCATTCACAAGTAACCAAGCCTGAGGCGCAAACTGCTCTGGCAGAAAAAAAGACGAGGTACGTAAAGATGGCGGAGTGGAGAGAAGAACTGCACCTATACTCTGTGTGTGAGCATCACCGCTCATGTGTCTGGTAGACAGTGACGCACAGGGTGGAATGCGATTGGCTCGGGACCAAACCACATCCGGGGGACTTTAGGGGTTACCATAACGTCATGATGCACGGGCCAAAAGAAACTCATACTCGGACACGGACGGTGGCAATTAGGAAATAGCAGCTACTGAGACACAGTCAGACGGGATGCAGATAGACTAGATTTGGCACAGCAGGGCTGACAAGTATTGAGAAGGCAATTAGGCCGACAGTGAAAGAGCAGCGAGACGGTAGGATGCCCAGGAAGAAAGACGGGTAGCTGCATACGCAGGGAGACACAATTAAATGCCTATTTTCTAAATAGTCCATGGCTTGGGTGGA